CCCCCCAGTTCTTATAAAAGGCAGTTTCCTTTCTTGCATTCACTCTCTCTCAACGGGCTGGCTGCTGGGAACTAAACGCCTGTTAGCTAGAAAATGCATTTGGGGGGGAGGGGGCTATCTCATTTCCCAGGGGTTCCAGAAACATTATCAATTTACAGTACATACAGGTTAAAAGAAAGGGGTTTTAAAGAACTGAAGAAAGCTTTCAAAGTTATTCCTGGCTCTTTAGATTCTTAGCGGACTTCATAGATAGAATTTCCCCCTTGCTTTCTTGATCGGCACAGCATTTAAAATAAATGGAAGATTGGTAAGAAGTTAGTCAATCTTTTGTGGCAGAGTGGTGAGGGGAGGGTGAAAGATTGATGCCTGAATATGTAGCATTCTTCTCCAAAATATGGGTGATATGAAGCCTCTTGACAAAAGCCTTTACTTGCATACACAAGTAAAGCTCAAACCAGCACACTGAAGTGAATTCATCCCCTCCTCCTTTCACTGCCTAACAAAAAGTAGAAACAGTTCTCACGGACTACCTGCTAGTAATGGAAACGACAGGAAAAAACTCTGGGACACACAGAGATATGCAACTGCACCGTGCTTGTGGAGCATGGCTATACATATAGCAAGATTTACCAATTGGTATTCATGGGCATAACTCAATCACCCACCACTGGAAAACTGTTTTTTTCAAACTTTTGGGGCATGTCTACACTGTCCTCTCAACTGTACAGCCCAGTAAGCCTGATTGTATCCCCTATTCCTGACTCTCTCCCACTCACCCCTTCTAGGACTCCCCCTCCCGGACATGCTGTAAATCAGCTCACTGTACCCCCACTGTGACACTTACATGCTCACCGGCATCCTCTCTCACCAGAACTGTCACACTCTCTCCCAGCTCCCCTGCTTTCCCTGCCACTCACCTCCCTCACGTGTATTCTCGGTGCAGCATCCAGAATAAGCTTCTAAAAGACACACCGGGTCATGTCACTCTACTGTTTTTCCTCCAGGTCTACCCTTTACCTCGGAAACTCCAGACTTCTCCATCTGCCTGCTGACCTGGCTCCTGTTACCACTTTTCTTGGTTTGGCTTCCTCCACAAAGAGGGCTTTACAAAAGGATTTAAGTATAAATGCTCTATTTGGAAGGGGGACCCCAGGAAACACCTGTGGGGAGTGGCAGAGACAGCAGGGAGGGAAGGCTGGAGAGGGTGAGCTACCTGCCAGTTATCACTGTGGGAAACTGAAGGGAACCCCACTGGGGCCTCTGAGAGTCAGGGTACCACAAGCCTCTGAGTGACCCAGCCCTGAGGAAAGCAGGCTGTGGTATTGATCTACCGTCGTCCTCTATTAATTGAGGGTGATTCCAAGAGCGCGAACCCTCCTGCAAAATAGCCTAGTGTGTCCCAACTGCCACAAAAATACCATCTTTAGGCAGAGGCATGCGGGTGTCCGCAGTAAGCCGCCTTGCCTTCATTGGCTCTACTCATTCAGCAAATATTCCTAGACCATCTAGCCCATGTCAGCCTTTCCTCTAGGCCCAGGGACAGCGTTGAGCAGCAGATGAGGCCACTGTCCTCTGCACCTTCCATGGAGGCTCCTGACTCTTCAGCAAGCTCCCTGGGTGCTGAGCCAGGTAAAGTTCCCTAGGGCCTTGGCACAGGCACCTCCCACTCTACACTTTTTGTGTAGCCCATCTCATCCCTTAACTACCACTTTCTTTTTGACTTAGGTGCTTTCCTTTGGCAAGATCGACCCAAAATATGTATCTAACAGATACTAGTTCATATCTATAATATAGAAAGAATGTCTAAAAATCAATAAAATAATGAACATTCTTATTTTAAAATAGGATTCAACCTGACAAATAAAGGGGCGTTAAAATAAAATCTAAAAATGTCTATCTGAATAAAGTCTATTAAAAAATCTATCCCAGTAGCCAGACTTTAGAGAATGTTAGTACCTAGTGTTGGCCTTGGAGTTACACTCCCTTATGTTCTCAGCTGAAGCCTGTGAGGGTAGTCTTTTCAGAAGTTAATCTGGCAAAATTCTTTAAAATGAAAAGTATTCATACCATTTGACCAAACATTCTCATGTCTGTAAGTTTCTAAGATAAATACCCCATTTATCAATGCATCAATGTGAAATCAGCGTATTTTCTCAAAATGTAATGCCTATACATTTTATCAGTTTAAAGAAAAGGGAATTATTACGGACTTTTTTACAAAAGATTTTTTAAACACAAAAAGTGATCAATGATGGCTTTGAAAAATCTCTGAAGAGTTTTCAAGAAGTTAGAAAATAAATTTTTAAAAAATCAGGAGAGACATTTTGAAATCCTTTTTGCCCTTATAGATGGTATCATGTCAAAAGTGAGTTGGGTTTTCCACCCATTCAGGGGCTGCCAAGAAGAGAGCAATGGGAGTCCTCACACAGATGCTCTTCTCTCCAGGCTTCCAGGGGTGTCTTCTCAGCTGGTCTACACTCAGATGGCACAGATAAAACTCAGAATAGAATTAATCATGGACTCTTTACTTCAATTTAAACAGTCATTAAATGAAAAGGAAGGGGCACATTTTTAACAAAGGAATGGCTTCTTTCTTTATGCAGGGAAATTAATTTTGTTCTCACTAATCCCCCATGCTTTCTCTCAACAGTAAGTTGTCTTCACAGACAGTCTCACTCAATAAGGAACCAATCAGGACTTCTTTTCTTTGGTCTTGGAGGCTTAATCTCCAGTCTGGCCCTAATCTTTCTGGCCCATTACTGTTGCCATGGTTACAGCTTCTGTTGTCATGGAGAAGAAGAGGTAAATTTGCCACACTAACAGTCTTTTTTTTTTTTTTTTTTAAAGAACCTCTTTAAACAGGAAAATTTCTCATAGCAAAATCCAGGAATAGGAGGTGATTTCTGAAGATAATATAAATGCAAAGAATAGATAGATTTGAAACCAAAAACTAATAACATTTTTAGGATGCCATTGCAATAGCCTTGGTAACAATTACATTATTGGATTAATTTTTCTATAAAGCCACATTCCATCTAGATATCAGAGAATTTTGTTCCGTCAGATTTTTACTGTAGAGTTTTATGGACATTCATTTTTTTCTCTGTGCTTATTAATAGTGCCCAACCTCCACTCCTATGAGGTATATGAAAGATGATAAAATATATTCATGGAATCACAAAAATAGTTAATTTGCAATAAACATCAACCAACCAATAGGCTTTTTTCCCTGTCACTCGCCATGTTGTTCATCAAAATATTATCAATGTAGCCACCAGGTCAACTAGATGCTATGTTCAGTGCATCTCCTTATTATCTTGAAGATTTAATGAAAATAAAATATAAATAGATAACATCAGTTTTATAGGAACATTTAATTGTCCTAGGAGCACCTATTTATTTGCCCTTGGCATTTTTTTTCTTGTTGGTGCTCCCTTGACACCAAACTCTAGCTTTCAATGGTCTAATGGAGAAGTAGATACAATTTAAATTTTGGTTAAAGTTTTTATTGTTAAAAAGTCATTTTACAACCTTACCCAAAAGAAGCTTGGCTGTATATGGTTGAAAAATAACAAACAGTAACATTTTCATAAAGCTTCACATTATTTTCAAAATTCAAAGAAACCTGGCCTTTGAGCTAGTGTGTTAAGAACCTTAGTAAAATGAAAAAA